AGACTGTGAGTGGGTGCAGTCTGGGCTGAGGGACCCCACCCCCGCTCAAGTGCACAAATGTTGTGCACCGGGCCTCTATTATATGATAAAATATAAAGCTCATGTTAAGTGTATTCAGGGATTTCCTCTTCTGGTTCAGCTAATTCTTGGAACTGGTCCCTTATTTTAGTGCTTTTCAAACTCTGCTGTTCATCATTTGCAGATGTTACTAAGCGGCAGATTCTGATTCATTGGTCTGGAATGAGGCCTGGGAACATGCAATTCCAACAAGCTTTGCTAGGAAGACCTTATAGCAGGGGTCCTCAAACTTTTTAAACAGTTCACTGTCCCTCAGACCGTTGGAGGGCCGGACTATAGTTTAAAAAAAAACTATGAACAAATTCCTGTGCACACTGCACATATCTTATTTTTTTTTAAAAAAAACAAAATGGGAACAAATACAATATTTGAATTTGCATATGGCCTGCAGGCCGTAGTTTGAGGACCCCTGCCTTATAGGATCTTTCGATCTTTCCCCAGGCGAATGATAGCAGGCAGGTCCTACTGCTACAATATTTTCTTCAACTTTTACCTAAACATCCTTTAGCATAGTTAGAGTGCACAATTTGCAAAATAACTTGACCTATCTTTACTATATAGCCTACCAAGGGAATGGAAATTACTTCCCCCACTTACAGAGTATCACTGAAAGATGAGTGTTACCAATGTCATGATGCAGAGGTGAAATTAAAATGTACATAATATTCAATAGATATATAAGGATGACCACAACATAATTATAATGGTAAAACGTTGGAGAAAAATCTTAATGTCCAATAATAGAGGACTAGTTAAATAACTTATAAGGGCATGTAGTAAAATTATGACATAAAACTACAATTACTGGTAATGAAAAGATGTTAGTGATAAATTTTTAAAAAGGTTTTGTAAAAATTGATATTTGATTCCATTTTGTGGGGGAGAAAATACACAAAGTCATATATACATTTATGCAAAAGGGTCCAGAAAGATATACTAAATTGTTTAAAGTGTCCTCAAAGTACTAGAATTTAAGGTGTTTTTTGGGGGGTGGGAGGAGAATGTCCTGAACAGCCTCTGGGTGCATGGGAGGATGCTCAACCAATTGAGCAACACTGGCAAGGGCCTCAGGTGGTTTTCATGTTTGTTTCCTTGCATTATCTAATATTTCTACTGTGACACAGACCTTATAAAATTCTTAAAGGATTAAAAAGGGGGTGAGAAGAAAATCAAGCAAACCCCATACCTGCATACACTTTTCAAGAACTACTATAATGGCTCTACTGCTAAGTTATTTGCATTCCAAAGAGTCATCAAGGGATTTCCCACATTCAAAACACTTTGTTTTTTGTTTTGTTTTTGTTAATCCTCACCCAGGATATTATTTCCATTGCTGTTTTTACAGAGAGTGGAAGGGAGGGAGGAAGAGAGGGAGGGAGGAAGGGAGGATGAGGGGGGGAAAGAGGGAGGTAAAGGGAGGGAGAGGGGAGAGAGAGAGAAATAGAGAGAGAGAGAGAAATAGATATACATCTATGTGATAGACATATCTACTGTCCCAGCCACCTCAACCAGTCCATTGCTTTTTTGAAGAGTGGAAGGGAGGGATGGAGAGACCTAAGGGATACACATTTACTGTCACAGCTGCTCCAACCAGGGCCCCAGGGCTAGGGATTGAACCTGCAACCTAGAACCAAAACTGTTGTCTTGTACTCCACCCAGACTTGCTGAATTTGAATCTCTGACAATAAACTCCTGAATGTGCATATGAAGCAATCATTGACTTTTACAGAGAGCAAAGTTCGGAAACTTGGTGTTGTTAAACAAAGAAGCTTCCTAGAAATGCAGGGACTTGCACTAAATTTCAAAGCTATCTAAATGGCAACCTGTAGCATATTCAGAAAGGGTGATCAGACACACCCACAGGCAGAGACTACTGGAATTTGAACAATAATCACCTGCCTAGAAGTACTGGCTTTATTCTATGTTAATTTTAAGCATCTCCTGTGAAAACTGACCATTTCTCTTGAGCTGACTGAGGTCACAAAGGTTTTTCCTTATATTTAACCTACATCTGTCTGAAACTATTATTATAACTCCTTCTATGATACTTGACCCCCTATGTAGTCATTCATTAGTTAGACGTTCACATAAACATTTATTATGGAACCAAGTATCCAGTTGATGCAACTACAGTCCTGTTGCTTTCATTTCTCCTTTCTAAGCACATTACATTTGACTAACCTCAGTAAATTCTGCTGATTATTTCTTCCAGAGATCCTCTTCAAGGTAAACACAAAGGCATGTGTGAGTTTATACTAATAGAAATCCTCAAGGAATCAAGAAAAGCATTTCCTGTTCTAAAAAACAGTACACGAACCCCCAAAAATTTGTTAAGAGAAAAGGGAGATATCACAGGACATATGACTAATATATCACAGTCTTAAGCACTTGTTATATCAAGTTTTAAGGCACAAATTTAGTGAAAGTTTTAAAAATGAGACGTTAAAGAGTTTCAGAAATTTCCTAACGTTAGTAAATTAAGAGCATTTCCCCAACAACACCATAGAGCAGTGGTTCTCAACCTTGGCTGCACATTAGAGTCACCTGGGAATCTTTTTAAAATCCTGATTTCTGGGCCTCATCCTCCGGAAATTCTGTTTCATTGTTATGGGGTGCAGCCACAACATTAGTAACAAAGAAACAGAATTTCCGGAGGATGAGGCCCAGAAATCAGGATTTTAAAAAGATTCCCAGGTGATTCTAATGTGCAGCCAAGGTTAAGAACCACTGCCATAGAGTTTCCCCCTCTTAAACCAGAGGGGAAAGCAACAGGACAAAAAAATAGCTGGCGTGAGGTCCTAAGATAGTGGTTCTCAACCTGTGGGTTGCGACCCCTTTGGCGGTCGAACGAACCGTTCACAGGGGTCGCCTAAGACCATCCTGCATATCAGATATTTACACTACGATTCATAGCAGTAGCAACATTACAGTTATGAAGTAGCAACGAATTAATTATGTCAATTTGTAACAATGAAAATACATCCTGCATATCAGATATTTACATTACGATTCATAACAGTAGCAACATTACAGTTATGAAGTAGCAACGAAAATAATTTTATGGTTGGGGGTCACCACAACAGGAGGAACTGTATGAAAGGGTCGGGGCATTAGGAAGGTTGAGAACCACTATCCTAAGAGGATCTAGGAAAGGGGCATAATTTCTGGGAGGGGGGTGGGAAACAAGCGCTTAATTTTATTATAATCTAGGATGTGTTTTAATCCTGGATCACTCAGAAGACCAAGTCAACTAAAACTGGAATTTATTAAAACCAGGAAGATTATATACCAACCTGCAACTCACACCAAGCAACCTCAACCCATGTTTCAGTGTCCAGTCCTTTATACACTGTTTTAAAGGCTCCTCTTCCCAGCTCTATGTCGAATTTCAGGAACCTGCCACTAGGAGAAGTAGCTACAGCCTTCATTTCCGCTTCTTCTTCCATTTCCTTTTCATTTTTCTCCTTGAGACAATCTTTGGAGGATTCGGAAGTTGCCTTTGAACATTGTGAGAATTTGACTTCTTTTTCACCTCTTAGCACATTTGCAGGAAGCTTTTCTGCACCTGGAATCTCTGTTGTAGCCTTCGTTTTCTCATCTTTGGAGGAAGAATCAATAACTTTGTCATCAACACTCGTTCGGAAGAATCTCTTCCTTTCGACAGTTTCCCCCCGAGCAGAGATGGTACTGTCATTTTCCTTCAGTCTAGCTTCCACTGTCAAAGTGGCTGCCATCTGATGAACTCTGTTTTCCAGTGAAACTCCATCAGGTTTCTCTGAATCTTCTGTGCTAGCTGGCTCCCCTGAATCAGTAGCCATTGTAATTAAGGTTGGCACTAAAAATTTCCCTGTTCTACCCTTCAGTCCAGTTACATCTCAGGTATCAGAATTATCAGGATGGACTTCCTTTTTATGTGGTCATGTTTCCATAGTAACCTGAAAGGGGAAAAAAGGATATTTTAAAATTACCTCACAAAGGAAATCATTAAGGAGAAAACAAGTCACCTGATTGTTTAATCCATTTTTTCTTAATAAGAAGTTTGTTCTTTTTTCTGTCCAAGCTTAGCAACCAGCAGACTCCAGGGACTATGTCTTATCTTGTTTACCACTGTAACCCTCAGTGCCTAGCAGGCTACTTGGCATATAGCTCAGTAAGTCTTCATATTGAATGAATGTTGGTTAGGAACCTAGTTTCTCAGTCCCATCTATCAATCCATCATATCTAAAGTAAGTATCTAAACCTGAGTTCACTTAGCTACAAGGTAAAAGGTAACACATAATAATTAAAACAAGCACATTGTTTCTCAGTAATTGTTTTTTGTCTAAAATTCTGGAATCTGATGGTAGTCTTTTTTATTGTGGTAAAGTATACTTAATATTAAATTAACTATTTTAACCATTTTTAAGCATACACTTCAGTGGCTTTAAGTATAGCCACAATGTTGCGCAATCATCACCATGATCTATTTCCAGAACTCTCCATCCTGGATCACTTCATCATCCCAAACTGAAATTCTGTATCCATTAAACTATAACTCTTCATCTCCCCAGTCCCTAGTAATCCCTATCCTACTTTCTGTCTCTATGAATTTGTTTATTCTAGGCACCACATCTAAGTGGAATCATACAGTAGTTGCCCTTTTGTGTCTGGCTTATTTCACTCAACAAAATGTTTGCAAGGTTCACTGATGTAACATGTTATCAGAATTTCATTCCTTTTTAACGTTGAACAATATTACATTGTATGTATATACCACATTTTGTTTATCCATTCATCTGGTCAATGGATTGGGATTGTTTCCACCTTTTGAATACTATGAATAATGCTGCTATGAACATCCAATTGTACTTTTGAGGTACACAAAATACTTGTTTATGAGCTTGCCTCAGATTTTAGCATAACCTACTGTAAAATATTAACATACAATACAAAAATATTAAAACACTATACTAAATCTTTTAAGAAACACTTTAAAATATGTATCCTCTTAAACCAGCAATTCTACTTATAGGAACTTGCCTTAGAAAATAGTCTATTTGTGCAAAGATTTAATTATAAAGACATTCATCACAGCACTTAAAATTTGGAAAAAACTGTAACTAAACATAAGCCTAATAGGGATTTAATTAAATATCTCAAAATGAGATGGATACAATATTTTTAAAAATCCACTAGCTTTTAATGAGATTAAAAGACATCTATATATTATATGGTTAAATGAAATATATACAATAAGCCTTCATATATACACACATAGATACATATATGATATTAATTCTGAATGGTATAATTATGGACTTTCTGCTTTTCTGTATTTTTTACAGTTTTCCACAAAGAACATGTGGAAATATGTGGAACATATAAGGAAAAAGTTATTTTTTAAAATTTTATTTTAAAATTATAGTTTACATTCAATATTATTTTGCATTAGTTTCAGGTGTATAGCAAAATATTTCAGGGACTACTTTGTAAAGTATATGACCATGTAAGGAAAAAGTTTTTCAAATGAATGGTTGTACTACCAATAAAAAAAATTCTTCTCTTCTCACCACAAACATGCATCACAAAATTAAGTACTGTCTAACTATTATGTTATGTAACTTAGAAGGCACGTTTTGTCACAATCAAAAAAAATACGCAGAAATATCAAATTTGAAAACCTGAGAATAACAATCCTTAACTAAGACAAAATGGAAATACCCCAAATTGCTCTACATATTAAACATAAATCCTATCAACATCCACCTAGTTTATTTGCAGACATTAACAAATTGATCCTAAAACTCATAAAACTTTGAGGGACCAGAATAGCCAAAGGCAAAACAATCTTGAAGAAAAAAAAAGTTGGAGGACTCATCCTTCCGAATTTTAAAACTTACCACAAAGCTATAGTACTAAGATAGCGTGGTACTGGCATAAGGATAGATGTAAAAATAAATGGAATGAAAACAGAGAACCCAGAAATAAACCCACATATTTATGGTCGATTTTCAATAAGGGTGCCAAGACATTTCAATGGGGAAGGAACCCTCTTTTCAATAAATGGTGTTGGGACAACTGGTTATCTATACGCAAAAAGAATGAAGTCGGACACTCTAAGGAAGGTTTACTGGAAGAGATGCTGGACCTGAGTCTCAAAGAAGGAAAATTACCTGATCCAAGCAGAAGGAAGATCACAAGCAAAGTCATGAGACAGCATGGATTAAGTGTATGAATGGTACCATGAATAGTTTACTGCATACTTTAGAAGCAGGCAGATGAAGACAGAGAACAGATATAAAATAAGACCAGTTAGAAATCTACTGCAATAATCCAGGAAAGAGATGCTGAGGTGTGAATGAAAATATTGGCAAGAGGGATAGATTCAAGATACATTAAACGAAGTTCCAAATTCAAGGTTTATTGCCTGAGTGAATATGGTTTTAAAGGGAAAGAATCTATGATAACTCCCAGAAATTTGCCTATCAAATGACACTACTAAGACATAGCTGTGTCAATATCAGAGATAAGAATTACAGTCATGTACCACACAATGACATTTTGGTCAAAAACGGACCACATATACCATATAGCCTCAGTGTCTAGTAGGCTATACCATTTAGGCTTGTGTAAGTATACTCTATGATGTTCACAGAGATGAAATTACCTAACAGTGCATTTCTCAGAGCCTATCCCTATTGTTAAATGGTGCATGACTGCAAACTAAGGACTCATGAACCGCTTTATGAGGTTACATTGCCAAATCAATTTCAAACGTCAATGAATAAGACTAGTATTGCCTGCAAGTAAGAAAAGGTAAGTAATATCACCTCACTTAGGTGCAGATTTTTTTCTTTAACTTATTTTTGACACAATTTGGACTTGGAAAAAAAAGTATACAAAGAATCCAATATACCCTTCACTCAAATTCCCCAAATGTTAACATTTTAGGTGAGATATTCTTAAAAATATTATTCACTTCACTTAACTAAAGGTCAATTATCCAGAAGCTTCAAGAACAGAGATCCATAAGCCAAAAGGACTTGTAAAAAGACAAAAATAGGTAAAATAAGATAATTTAAGTAACTGCAGAAATTCTTTTTAAAAAGTGAAATCCGCCAAACCGGTTTGGCACAGTGGATAGAGCGTCGGCCTGCGGACTGAAGGGTCCCGGGTTCGATTCCGGGCAAGGGCATGTACCTTGGCTGCGGGCACATCCCCACTGGGGGGAGTGCAGGAGGCAGCTGATCGATCTCTCTCATCAATGTTTCTAACTCTCTATCCCTCTCCCTTCTTCTCTGTGGAAAATCAATAAAATTATATTTTAAAAAATAAAAAAAATAAAAAGTGAAATCTTACTCGGAACCCTAACATAAAAATAGAGGGGCAAGTAGTCCTGCTCTAGTATAGCTCTAACATGTTCGGTCACCTGGTTTTCCAAACTATAGGATAAGAAGCAGAAAATCAGAGGTATGGGGAAAGGAATGTTCCCTCAGCCTTTTAAAAAACAACCTTAAGACAAAAAAATGTTATAGAGCCAACAGGGATATTTTATAAGTATGAAAAGATTAATTCATTAGAACAATAAAATTATATACATCTAACAACAGAGCCCCAAAATACATTAACACGTTTAGCGCCCAGCCTGTTTTGTCTTCTGGATGGAAAGTATAGTGTCAGCCACCAGTGGCTGACTGGGCGCTTAACGTGTTAAGTTAAAACTGACAAGAGCCTGACTGGTGTGGCTGAGTTGGTTGAGCTTTGTCCTATGCACCAGGAGGTTGCCGGGTTCAATTCCCAGTCAGGGCACATGCCTGGGTTGCAGGTTCAATCCCCAGTAGGGGGCATGCAGAAGGCAGCCAATCAATGATTCTCTTTCATCTTTGATGTTTTTCTCTCTCTCTCTCCCTCTTTCTTGCTCTCTCTGAAATCAATAAAGACATATTAAAAAAATAAAAGTTGCCACCAAGAAAGTGATACACAAAAAGCCTTGGAGAAAATATGTGCAAATCACTTATCTGATAAGAGACTAGTATTCAGAACATACAAAATATTCGGAACATACAAAAAATTCTTACAAGTCAATAATGAAAAGATAAATAATCCAATGGGCTGAGGATCTGAATAGACATTCTCTAAAGAAGTTATACGAATGGCCAATCAACATGAAAAAAATGTTCCACATCATTACTCATTAGGTAAATGCCAATCAAAAACTAAAATGAAATACTACTTCATACCCATGAGGATGGCTACAATCAAAAAGATGAACAGCAACACGTTGTTGGTAAAGATGTAGAGAAAATGGACCCCTCGTGCATTGCTGGTGGGAATGTAAAACGTTGCAGCTGCTCTGGAACATAATCTGGCAGTTATTCAACAAGTCAACATAGAGTTACTATATGATACCATCTACCCAAGTGAAATGAAAACACATGTCCACACAAAAACTTGTACACAAGTGTTCACAGCAGCTCTATTCACAATAGCCAAAAAGTGGAAATGATCCAAATGTCTATTAATTGATGGCTAAACAAAATGTGCCATATCCATGCAATAGAACAGTATTCACACAATAAAAGGGAATGAGAGATATCAATACCTGCTACAAGGATGAACCTTGAAAACGTTATTCTAAGAGAAAGAAGCCAGAGGGAAAGACCATACACTGTATAGTTCTATTTATATGAAATGTTTAGAATATGCCAATCTACAGAGACAGAAAATAGATTAGTTGTTGCCTGTGGGCTGGGGCTAGGGCTGGGGCCGGGGCTGGGGCACAGGAATAGCACTGACAGCAAACCAGCACAGGGGATCTTCTGGGGTGATGGAAATGTTCTAAAATTAGATTGTAATCAAGAATATACAACTCCATAAATTTACTAAAAAATCACTGACATTTATATTGGTGAATTTTATGGTATGTAAATTATATCTCAATAAAATATGATGTCCC